TGGTCTGGACGCTGCAGCTGGTGCAGAGCATGGCGGCTAGCTTGATTGTGGGAGCAAACGACTGCCAGCATATAACACCTTGCACTCAGGATTTGCACTGGCTGCCAATTTACTGCTGGGCCAAGTTGAAGGTTTTGGTACTAGCATGCAAGTCCCTATACAGCTCAGGACCAAGTTACTCAACAGACTGACTTATCACTTATGCACCCAATAGTTCACTGCAGTCCATGGAAGAGTCCTGCAAATTCCAAAGATCTCAGATACCCGCTCCACAGTAACTTGGAGCAGGGCTTTTTTAGTAGCTCCTTTGTGCTGTAGAATAGCACTCCTGTTCAAGATACAACAGGTGCACACTTTCTGGAAACAGCTGGAGACATTTTTGTTTTGACTAGTTTTCCCAGCTGGATGAATGGGTGTTTACCACCAACGTTAGTATTTTAGTCTTGTTGGTTTTGTGTTTTTAAACTGCTTTTAATTATTTTGTGTGACTTGCCTTGAGATGGCAGTTTAGAAGACAACTAATAAATTAATTATGGTGCTGGAGGAGACTCTTGAGAGCCCCATGGGCTGCAAGAAGATCAAACTTCTCCATTCTGAAGGAAATCAGCCCTGAGTGCTCACTGGAAGGACAGATCCTGAAGATGAGGCTCCAAGACTTTGGCCACCTCATGAGAAGAGAAGAGTCCCTGGAAAAGATCCTGGTGTTGGGAAAGATGGAGGGTGCAAGGAGAAGGGGACGACAGAGGATGAGATGGTTGGACAGTGTTCTCGAAGCTACCAGCATGAGTTTGACCAAACTGCGGGAGGCAGTGGAAGACAGGAGTGCCTGGCGTGGCATCCGTGGGTTCACAAAGAGTCAGACACGACTAAACAACTAAACAACAAATAAATTAACTGTAATGATGAGGATGATAATCCCCTAGACTCAGCCATTGGGATAACAAGTACAGTGGTGCCCCGCAAGACGAATGCCTCGCAAGACGAAAAACTCGCTAGACGAAAGGGTTTTCCGTTTTTTGAGTCGTTCCGCAAGACGAATTTCCCTATGGGCTTGCTTCGCAAGACGAAATGTCTTGCGAGTTCTTGCGAGTTTATTTCCTTTTTCTTAAAGCCGCTAAGCCGTTAATAGCCGCTAAGCCGCTAATAGCCGTGCTTCGCAAGACGAAAAAACCGCAAGACGAAGAGACTCGCGGAACGGATTAATTTCGTCTTGCGAGGCACCACTGTATGTAGGTAAAATTGGCAAAGTGGACAGGAATTAAACAGAAAATTAAATGCTAGCACAAGCCGAGTTCAAATAGCAGCAAAACAGAAACGATGGTGTGTTTTCTTTTTCTTTTCTTTTTTTTTGGAGAACCCCCTTCCTTTCCTGCCACTCAAAAGCTAAATCCCAAGCCCCTCCCTTCCTTGCCCCTCACTCACTCTGTAATTTTTGGGTCGAGGTTTCCGATCCACAAGCGATGTCCATCCTGCAGGGCCCCTTCGGACAGGATAGATGCATTCTCCAAGCGCAGGCTCTGCGTGGGAGGCACTGCGGTCGCCATCCGCACCTGGGGAGGTGGAGAGACAACGAGGAGAGTGTGTTTGGTGGGGTGAAATTGAAAAAGGAAGAGGTTGTACGCCCAGCAAGATTATCAGAATTATGAGAAAAACCTTCTCAATTATGATCTCTTGCTGATATTTAGAGTTTCACTTCTGAATCTGCTCCCTATGTCAAGGTCTAGCCCCAGGAAACATCACTGCAAACTTGGGTCTCCATATGTTTTTGAACTACAATTCTCATCATCCCTGACCACTTGTACTGCTAGCTAGGAGTGATAGGGGTTGTAGCCCAAAAACAGCTGGACCCAAGTTTGGGAAACCCTGCTCTAAACCATAGCACCACCACTTCCTAGTACCAGCAATTTGGGGATAATGATGTTGATGACAGTTATGATGATACAGCAGACTGTTATTGTACACAGTGCTGGTATGCTGATCTTTAAAGCCTGCGTAAAGCCCTCCTGATGTCATTGAACTGCAATTGCCATCATTGCTACCAGAGCTGACGGGATCAGCAGTAAAAAAAAAACATCTGGAGAGCCACAGGTTGCTCATTCCTACTTTAAAGGCACCTGTAGTTTACATCCAGGTAACAAAGGCTAAACACTCCTATCCACACTTAACCTGGGAGTAAGAGCCATTCAGTTTACCAGGACATTTTTCTAAGTAGACACATAGAAGATTTCACTGAAAAGGATTATCTATTTGTTTTCCTTTCCTTTGTGTTATGACTTGCTAGTGTTGTTTTCTTTCTTAGGTTTCAGTAATAAAATTTATTTAAAATAAAATAAAAATTATTGCCTACGCCCACAAATCTACCCAAATGCCCAGGTTGTCCTTGAGTCCCATCAGTGGGTGCCTCTCCCTATGGAGGTGCAACAGGCACCAACCAACCAACCAACCAACCAACCAGAGAAGGGTCTTCTTAGTTGTGAGGAGCCATCTGTGAAACGCCCCCCCCCCCCCCGGAGCAGCTTGCCTGCTGCTGTGGTCTAATGCTCCATAACATAATATTTTTTAAATAATCAAAAACTCAAATAAAGAAAGAAATGTCTGTTTAGCATCAGGTGAATCCTTTACTTAAGTATATCTGTTACTTGCATTGCTAGATTGGGGAGACCACATTGATTTTATCTGTGCTCTTCTGTTATTCATTATTATTACAGTGGTACCTCGGGTTACGTACTTAATTCGTTCCGGAGGTCCATTCTTAACCTGAAACTGTTCTTAACCTGAAGCACCACTTTAGCTAATGGGGCCTCCTACTGCCAGAGCACGATTTCTGTTCTCATCCTGAAGCAAAGTTCTTAACCCGAGGTACTATTTCTGGGTTAGTGGAGTCTGTAACCTGAAGCGTATGTAACCCGAGGTACCACTGTATTTGTTAACTATGCACAGTTATCCTTTAAGAATTGTTTTGTAAGCCACCCTGGAAATTGTCAGAGACTGAAAAGGTGGAGAATGAAAGGCCTTAAATTTATATAGCAGCAGGCAAAACCAGAGCTGGCAACAGCACCTGCCATCCTTGTTGTCAGGGCCTCTACCTCTAGGTAATTTTAATCTATTTAATCTATTTTAACTTTAGTATGTTTTGAATTGTGGTTGTAAATTTTTCACGATTTTCTTGTTTTCTCTTTTTGTAAACCGCTTTGATGGTTTTTTAAACAATCAAGTGGTATGCAAATTTCATGAAATAAATACATACATACATAGCTTGCCAGGATCTAGCAAGACCCAACATGGATGCCAGCCTTGGGCCTCATATTCCTGCCCTACTCACTTCACAAAGCAGTCTTAGCAGCACCAGGTAGCTAGATGTAGTGACATTTTTAAATTTCCACAATGCGAGTAGCCTGCTGTCACTCTGAAGCACTGTGAGAAATTAAAAGGGTGGCAACCAAGGAATAAATGGCCTCGGTCCAGTATATCTGAAGGAGCGTCTCCACTCCCATCGTTCTGCCTGGACACTGAGGTCCAGCGCCGAGGGCCTTCTGGCGGTTCCCTCATTGCGAGAAGCAAAGTTACAGGAAACCAGGCAGAGGGCCTTTTTGGTAGTGGCACCCGCCCTGTGGAATGGCCTCCCATCAGATGTCAAAGAGAACAACAACTACCAGACTTTTAGAAGACATCTGAAGGCAGCCCTGTTCAGGGAAGCTTTTAATGTTTAACAGACCACTGTATTTTAATACTTTGTTGGAAGCCGCCCAGGGTGGCTGGGAAGCCAGATTGGTGGGGCATAAATAAGAAATTTATTATTATTATTATTATTATTATTATTATTATTATTATTATTATGCCAAAGGACACTTGCACCTAAGGCCCCCTCAGACATGGAGCCAGCCCCAGGAAGAGCTTCAAGGGAGCTTACATTTAAAAACAGACAACCTCAGGAAACACCAGGGTAAAGAAATGTGAAAAGTGGCAGGGCTGGTCCAAGCCATTTTGGCACCCGCAGTCTCCTTGTCAGAGGGATTGGAACTCTACATCAGGAACAGGGGGTAGGGAGTGAAGATCATCATTGGGAATGAAGATCTACATGTGATGTGTGTCCTGGAGGTCAGATCTGCTGCTCCTGTGGACCCTGCCACCCAAGGCAGTCGCCTCACCTTTCCTGACGGGAGAGCTGGCCCTAACTGGGGGAGGGCAAAGGTGATTACTATGGCTCACAGCGGTTGCACGGCCTGTAGAGTTGGAAGGGACCCCTAAGGATCATCTGGTCCAACCCCCTGCAATGCAGGAATCTCAACTAGATCATATGTGACTGATGGCCATCCAACTTCTGCTTAAAATCCTCCAAGGAAGTTTTTAATCTTGATTACAGCTGGATTTTGACCATCTGAGGAAATGAAAAGCAAGAGAGGGAGATACAGGCCGAACTCTTTAAACGGGGAGGCTGGTCTCAAAGCGAAGAGTCAAGCATTCTCTCCCTCACTCGAAGGGCTGCTGCCAGTCAGTGCCAGCAGCGTTGAGAAGCGGCCTGGCCAGGTGAACAGAAGGCCGCTTCCCAGCCTTGTCTTTCAGCTGAGAGGGGCTGCAAGGGCGGGGGGGGGGGCTCCCGGGTGTCTCCTTTTTTATATACTTTATCTTCTCCTTTGTTTGTCTCTGCCTGTGTCTCTGCGAGGCGCCCGCCTCCCAGCTCCCTCGCTGTCCGCCTAGCCTACCTCGCTGGGTTGTTGTGCGGGTGACGAGGGAGGCCCCGCGCGCCGCCTGAGGCGGAAGGGCCGGTTAAAAAAAGCGACAGGGTCACCCTCTGGGCATGTGCAGAGTGCTGACACGCCCTGACACGACGGGCGCGGCCCCCTCGGCGTCACACTCACCGGCATCCCCTCAGCGCGACTCTCTTCCTCTCCGCTCCCCGCGCGCTCAGGCTGCGGCGTCACCGGTCCGCGCCGAGAAACGTCACGACGCTCCGTCGGCGTCATCGGCGCGCGCGAGAGTGGGCGGGGTGGAGGGCCCGACGTCATCGACCCGCGCCGGCGTTGGCGCTCACTTCCATCCACACCTCCGACGAGGAGACTCGCGGGTTGGCGGAGCGGCGGCGGAGGAGCGAAGCGTAGGCTTGGGGAAGGGCGGCGTTCCGAAGGGAATGCGCCGAAAGCGGGGGCGGCTACGGCGGCTGGCGGGGCCTGCGGGAAGGGGCAGGGCTTGGTTGGCCTCGCATGCTGACTAAGGAAGGGGCGGGGCTTCTGTTTGCGGGGTGTTGGGGCGGGGCTTATAGGCTCTGGGGGCGGGGCTGGTGGGCGGGGCTTGTTTGGGGAGGCGGGGCTTGGGCTTGGGGTTCTCCTATGGAGTTGGGACCTTGGGATTGGGACCCTTGACTGACTTACAGCTCCTGGCCATAGCTGTCAACTTTCAGATTTGAAAATAAGGGACCAGCAGCCTCAAAAATAAGGGATCAGCAGCCTCACCTGTCCCAGGGACAGTCTACGGCACGGGTGTCAAACACAAGGTCCGTGGGCCGAATCCGGCCCGCCAGACCTTGTCATGTGGCCCGTGTAGCCGCCGGCAGCCGCCAGCCTTCACCTTTTATTCTCGGTTTTTTTTTTTTTTGACACAAGAAAGCCGCCTCTTCAGTGCATGCGCGGCAGCCTACAAGCCAGAGAACATCTGCCCTCTAGCGGCCCTTTGAGGGTGACCAAACTGCTGATGCTGCCCCCAATGAATTTGAGTTTGACACCCCTGGTCTACGGGATAGCTAACAATCCGGGATAGCAGCGGGAAGCAGCGCTGGAATAAGGGAATTTCCCACAAAAAAAGGGAAGGTTGACAGCTATGCTCCTGGCTTCTTCTTCTTCTTCTTCTTATTATTATTATGTTATTATTCATTAAATTAGCATACTGCCCATCTCACAATATCTCACAGATCTCACAGTATAAAGATACCTTAAAATACAAAATAAAATCAGAAAGTACGTAATAAAAACAAGTACAAGAACAAACCAGTAATCCTCTCTCACACACACAGACACATTTAAAAGGATATGGAATGTTAATCAGTCCAAGGCCTGGTTGCAGAGAAACACCTTCGCCTGGCGCCTAAAGATGTATAATGAAGGTGCCAGGCGAGTCTCCCTGAGGAGAGCTTTCCACAAATGGGGAGCAACTGCAGAGAAGGCCTGTTCTTGTGTTTCCACCCTCTGGACCTCTCATGGAGGGAGCACACGGAGAAGGGCCTCAGGTTATGATTGCAGGGTCTGGATAGGTTCATATGGAGAGAGGTGGTCCTTGAGGTATTGCTGTCCTGAGCTATTTAAGGCTTTATAGACTAAAACCAGGACTTTGAATTGGACCTGGAGACTAATTGGCACCCAGTGCAGTTGGGCCAAGTGTATTATGCTGAAACTATCTTGCCCCAGTGAGCAGGCTATCCCTGTCCAGCCCTGGTGCAGCTGAGCCATTCTATTCACTTCAGCCCCAATTCTGCAGGAGATAGTATAGTGTGTAGTGCCTAAAGTGCATGTGTGAACTGTTTCATATGAAAATGTCTTCAGATACCTTCAGAGTGAGAGTCTGTAACTGGCAGAAGGCTGGCCCCTGGTAGGTGTGAGACATGGCAGGGAATAGGTGTGCTCGAGTGTGACAGTGGCCAGGTGGCTTCTGTGGACTTGAGTAATGCTGTTCCCAATTCTGTCAGATGCCATCTGGGAGAAGTGGTTGTGGTAGATTTTGTTGGTGGACTTGTGCTGTCTGCATAATATGGGAGGAGTTTGGGAAAGGAGGCAGTGGCGTAGCGTGGATTGCCAGCGCCTGTAGCCATGCAGAGTTGGGAGTTGGTGGAAGGGAACCAGGCAGAGTACACATGCGCATTCCACTGGAGAAGCCATTTTCAAAGGAGCCCAGTGACGGAAGCATGCAGCTGTATTGCGGCAGCACCAGGTGTTGAAATTTTCTGCTCCTTGCAATTTTGTGCCTGGAGCAACCACCCTGTGGCCCCCCCATGGTACGCTACTGGAAGGGTAGAAGGAGAGATATAGCTGTAGGAAGGTGATAGGTCGCAGTGGAAGATGGGGTTAAGGATATTTATGTCTTGTTCCTTGCTCCCACCTTGCCCACAGATTGGTCCCTAGTTGTTCATCTTGGGGCATCTGTACAATGCCAGCAGAAAAAACACAATTTTAAACACCAAACAACTCTGAAATATCTAGCACAGAAAAGCTACCAGCCCAGCACACTCATTAAACAACCATGTAACTGAACGAAAACCCGCCTCACCTATTATTTACTTGCCTTTTTAAGAATTAATGGTTCTTTCCAGGCAGCTTTCAACAGGACGACATGGCTGGGCCTCTGAGATGCCTCTGGCAGTTGCCTCCCCTACTGCGTTACTCCACTTTGGGGACTGCAAAGCCATCCCTGCAGGCCCCTCTGAGGGGTCTTTTGCTGCATGGCTGCCTGGATAACTGGGCCCACCCACAGATGGTGCAGGCCAGGCACCTCGCTACCAAGAAAGCCAAAGGTGAGAAAGGGGGTCTGTGGACCCGAACTTTCCCCAGTTATGCGTTTTCTACTGATCACCCCATCCTGGTGCCTTGAGAGTGGGTGGGAGGTCCCACTCCTCCCTACTCAACGGGAGTGGTGGCAAGATTGAAGCAGCTGTGTTATTGATTGATCAGTTATTGTTATTTTTTATTAGGCCTGTCGCTTTTTTGCAGAGAAGTTTCCAAGGGACTTAAAACGTAATTAAAAAACAGATACGTTGTAATATTGACATGTTCATGGAAAAACACATGCAATTTGTAAAAAATGTATAGCTAAGACAGGTAAATAATGTTTTTATTCATCTTTTATGGTAAAGAACAGACATTTTGAGAAAACAATTGTTACAACAGTAAACAACAAATAATATCCTGATAAAGTTACAGACTTTTGTCATGCTGTGTAATAAAGTTTCATTTGATGACTCCAAGAGATCACACCACATTTTCCCAAGAGTGTTAGGTGGATTCCTGCCACAGTCTGAACAATTTGTGTATTCAATAAATATCTTCCATATGTTATAAAAGGAATAGGGATTCTTTTTGCCCTTTGCCACTTGACTTTGTCATTTATCAGCCAATGCTGTTGACCATACTCTTGTATACCAAGAATCGATGTTAAGCCCAATGCCAGTTTTCCAACATCTGACTACCTCCATATAGACAGCTGTCAATAGAAAGGCTAAGAGGTCATCATTAGGGTGGGATTGTAAGCCCAAGTCATGCCATTTCAGGAGACATTTCAACTGTTTTGCTATATATCAAGCTTATTTCTTTGAAGACAGCACTCCAGAAAGGTTTGATGATATCACTACACCACCACATATGGAAATATGTACCTTTGACTGCGCATCCTTGACTGACTTCCTTAGATTTTCAGGATAGCCACATCATTGTTGCGTCACTTATGCAGGAGTTTTAATGAGGATTCCCTGATTTTTGCAGAAACTGATTTCAACAGCCATCCAGTTTTCACTGGAATTTGCACTTCTAGGTCCATTTCCCATGGCATTTTTGGGTATAATAGATTGCCATATTCTAGTGTTGTTGTTGTTGTTGTTTAGTCGTGTCCGACTCTTCGTGACCCCCTGGACCAGAGCACGCCAGGCACTTCTGTCTTCCACTGCCTCCTGCAGTTTGGTCAGACTCATGTTTGTAGCTTCGAAGACACTATCCAACCATCTCGTCCTCTGTCGTCCCCTTCTCCTTGTGCCCTCCGTCTTTCCCAACATCAGGGTCTTTTCCAGGGAGTCTTCTCTTCTCATGAGGTGGCCAAAGTCTCGGAGCCTCCGCTTCAGGATCTGTCCTTCCAGTGAGCACTCAGGACTGATTTCCTTCAGAATGGAGAGGTTTGATCTTCTTGCAGTCCATGGGACTCTCAAGAGTCTCCTCCAGCACCAGAATTCAAAAGCATCCATTATTCGGCGATCAGCCTTCTTTATGGTCCAGCTCTCACTTCCATACATCACTACTGGGAAAACCATGGCTTTAACTATACAGACCTTTGTTCGCAAGTTGATGTCTCTGCTTTTTAAGATGCTGTCTAGAAGGTTCACTGAGAACCATGCAAAAGCCTGGTGCTTGGTGACACCACAGTGGGCACTAGCCAGCTGCTGCCCTCCACAGTGGTGCGGCACCTCCTTTCATGTTCAATTCAGTGGGACTTGCTTGTGATTAGCGTGACCAGTGGGTCTCTCTCCTCCCTGCCTTCCGCATTTAAATGACTTTCCTGACAGGAAAACCATAGCTTTTATTATACGGACCTTTGTTGGCAAGGTGATGTCTCTACTTTTTAAGATGCTGTCTAGGTTTGTCATTGCTTTTCTCTTTTTTTTTTTTTTAAATAATTTTTATTAATTTTCCAAACATATAAAGAACAAAAAATAAAACAAAACCAAACATACAAAACATACAAACAAATAAACATGTATAATTTCTTAAAATTATTTTCATAAACCTTCTTTCCCGGACTTCCCCATACCTCCCTTTTTCTGCATCCTTATGTTAACCCTTTCTCAGCAACCCTTCGTTTCAATTTGTTCACTCATTTTCATTATGCATTTTTTAAAGTTAAGATTTACAGCTGCAATTTTCTATTTCTTATAACCATAACATCTCAGCCATCATTAATTTTACAACAGTCTTTAAGATATTTTTTAAATTTCTTCCAGTCCTCTTCCACCGTCTCTCTCCCCTGGTCGCGGATTCTGCCGGTCATCTCTGCCATACCCATGTACTCAGTCACCTTCGCTTGCCATTCTTCCAGAGTAGGTAGCTGTTGCGTCTTCCAATACTTTGCTAGAAGAATTCTCGCCGCTGTGGTAGCATACATAAAGAAGTTTCTGTCCTTCCTTGGCACCAATTGGCCCACCATACCCAAAAGAAAGGCCTCTGGCTTTTTCAAAAATGTCCATTTAAGGACTTTTTTAATTTCATTATAGATCATTTCCCAGTAGGCCTTTACCTTCGGGCAGGTCCACCAAAGGTGATAGAAGGTACCTTCAATCTCATTACATTTCCAACATTTGTTACTGGGCAGATGATAGATTTTTGCAAGTTTGACTGGGGTCATGTACCACCTATAGATCATTTTCATTATATTCTCTCTTAATGCATTACAAGCTGTAAACTTAATACCTGAATTCCATAACTGTTCCCAGTCATTGTCATTGCTTTTCTCCCAAGACACAGGCGTCTCTTAATTTCGTGGCTGCTGTCACCATCTGCAGTGATCATGGAGCCCAAGAAAGTAAAATTTCTCACTGCCTAGTGTTATTAGAGCTTTATAAATTGGAGGAAGCCATGCCCCTAGAGAATGAAGAGAGGTTAACAAAGAATCTTAACAGCTGATCGAAATGGTACCATGACTATTTAAGGTTTGGTATGTCATCTTTCTTACTTTGCAAGCAAGGGCTTGGTCGGTGTTAGGAAGCTGAGCTAGGTGGTCGCTTGGTCTGAGCTCACAAGGGAGTTCTTGTATTTTGTGAACCAGAGGTGGAGAGAGTGTGGCTCTCCAGGTGCCGCTCCCAGCACCCCAGCCAGCACAGCCAGTTGGCACACATGATGGGAACTGGTGTTCCAGCAGTGCCCAGAGAGACACAGATCCCCACCCTTCCTTTAAGTGCACTCTTTTCGCATGCTGACTGAAGAATTCTGTGCAACCCAGGGTTTGCTACGCATCAGGAATGTTTGCTTGCACAAGCGCCAATGAAACGAACAGGAGCTGTATAAAAACACAGCTATGCTCCCGCTGGCTCTTCCGTTAGGAAACTGTTTTTGCGTAGTAGTAGGGGCTAACCAGGGCTGCCTCCTCCGCCTCAAGTGTCCTCTGGCTGTTCTGTCAGGCTGTCTCAGTGGGAGAGATGGGAAGCAGAAGGTTCATTTCATCAGCTTTGCTGGAGGCCCAGCTCCACAGGGCACCTGCCCCTGAACTCTTGTCAGCTGCTCTTTATAAGAAATGGCGCCTGATATTCCTGCCTCCCACCCACTTCCCTGTCCCTTTCATCTTTTTTAGAATGTAAGAATGCAGGGGCCGGGACTGCCTTGTTTTAACTGATGGTATTTAAGCCACTTTGGGGCTTCTTTTTTAGCTGAAGAACTGTTTGCAAATACTCTAAATCAGTGGTTCTCAAAGGCAGGAGAGGATGGCAAGTGTGATGGCAAGATTCAAGGACAATCAAAGAAACATTTAAACATTCCGGTATAGTATAGTATAGTATAGTATAGTATAGTATAGTATAGTATAGTATAGTATAGTATAGTATAGTGGTACCTCAGGTTACATATGCTTCAGGTTACATACACTTTATGTTACAGACTCTTCTAACCCAGAAATAGTACCTCAGGTTAAGAACTTTGCTTTAGGATCAGAACAGAAATCGTTCAATGGCAGTGAGAGGCCCCATTAGCTAAAGTGGTGCTTCAGGTTAAGAACAGTTTCAGGTTAAGTACAGACCTCCGGAACGAATTAAGTACTTAACCTGCGGTACCACAGTATAGTATAGTATAGTATAGTATAGTATAGTATAGTATAGTATAGTATAGTATAGTGGTACCTCGGGTTACATACGCTTCAGGTTACAGACTCCGCTAACCCAGAAATAGTACCTCGGGTTAAGAACTTTGCTTCAGGATAAGAACAGAAATCGTGCAGCGGCAGCAGGAGGCCCCATTAGCTAAAGTGGTGCTTCAGGTTAAGAACAGACCTCCAGAACGAATTAAGTACTTAACCTGTATAGTATAGTACAGAAATGGGATGGGGGGAAATACAACCAAAAACAGTATCCATGCCTCTCTTAAAGAGCCTTGGCTATTCTACAGATCTCCACGACATATTGTTGTGAACAGGGATTTTCAACGCTGACAAATAAAGTGGTACCTCGGGTTAAGTACTTAATTCGTTCTGGAGGTCCGTTCTTAACCTTTAAAGTGTTCTTAACCTGAGGTACCACTTTAGCTAATGGGACCTCCTGCTGCTGCCGCGCCGCCGGAGCACGATTTCTGTTCTCATCCTGAAGCGAAGCAAAGTTCTTAACCCGAGGTATTATTTCTGGGTTAGTGGAGTCTGTAACCTGAAGCGTATGTAACCTGAACCGTATGTAACCCGAGGTACCACTGTATGAAAGGTTAGAAAAAAGAAAGGCTTTTTTGTATTGATGAGGAGACAAGATTTTGTTTGGTCTTTGTCTAATATAAATGAGATTAGCCGGCAAAAGCCAAGTTACACCTCACTGTGAGTTTGTATACACACTTAAGATACATATGCAAGAGGCTTATTTATATTTTGGGAATGGTTTATGTTCTTATGTAGCTGCATTGTTTTATACTTCTTGGAGGTCCCACGATCATATTATAAAGTAGTTGTGTTCTATGTTATAACTCAAGCACTGCTAGGAATTGTTTCTTCTTGTTTTCCAATTCAGTGTGTTGCAAGCAAACTTTTGTTCTGAAAGTGTGGCCCAGAGGAAAAAAGTTTGAGAACCACTTCTCTGAATAAATAAACAGCCTTGCTTGTGCTTCTCCAGCTAAAGGGAAAGGAGGGGCTCGTGTGAACATCAACACCTCTCTTGTTGAGGAGATCATTGGCTTGGATGAGGTGAATGAGAAAATGCGTTCTGTAGTCAAAACCCTGCAGGAGGATTTCAACAAAAACCTGAGCATCCGCACCTCGCCAGGTAAGTCACTCCAGCAGGTTTGCAGCACCTGCTCTGAAGCAGCAGCCCCCAGCTTCCCCACATTGCCATCCCTACATCTCAGAGCTCTTCTCCAGACACAATAATTGATGGCTGCCTTGCGATTCTTAACAAAAGTGCTTTGCTTGCCCTGAGCTTGACCAGGAGGCATCCCTTCCTGCTAATAGCTTCCTGCTGGCACTCATTGCAGAGTGGGAGATGTCAGAAGCATCTAAGCGAACCATTTGCAGATGTGATGACGAGGAGAATTGTCAGCTACCAGCGTGGCAGGAAAGGGGCAATTGCCACTAAATTAGCCTCTTGGAAATTGCCCTCAAGATGTGGGGAGGACCAGACTTATCTTGACGGGCTGGCACCTTTGGCTTAAAACGGGGTTCTTTTGTAGTGAAGGAAGGGCATTCCCCTTCCTACGAACTTATATTGGTAAGCACCAATGTTTGCAGGCCGCGAGAGCAGTCCTCGCCTCACTGATTTGATGGAGATGCCGTTTCATAAGAAGAGCTTGGCTGAATCATACAAAAAAATTAGTGACAGCAGTTGAGTGCAAGCACAAGACTTGGGCAAAGTGTGCAGTCCAGTGCACATTCACATGAGTGCAAGTCCCACTAAATCGGGTCAGCAAAGTTTTTGTGGCTTGGGTTGGTTCACAGTCCTGCAGACGCTGCAGTGGGCTGCCCCACAGACGCTGTGTGTGCATGCACACATGTGCAAAAGCTATTTCAGGCGCTGAAGAGGCGTGCACAGCTTCCCATTGGCTGCAGGAAGCTGGCCAGCTTCACGGAAGCCGGCCAGCATCATGGAAGGCGTTCCCCACTCTGCTCTGTGCCGGTTTAGCGCGGCGCAAGGGAGCCGACCGAGCGGGCGGCAGGGGTCCATGGGCTAGTTAAACAACCCCCATGGGCTGCTTGTGGCCCATGGGCCTTAGGTTGCCGACCCCTGCACTAAATACAAGGAGAATTGATTCTGAGTAGACATCAGCATTGTACTGTAAAATGCTGGACAAGCTGCCACAAAAATTGGCACACCTGCGCAGTCACACACCCTGCTTTGGCTGTGTTAACGTGAATCTTCTTGAACAGTAGCTCTTCCTGCTCAGTTTAATGTTTTGGTTTTTCTGTTCAAGCATTTCCATTCAAACCTTTCCAGAGAGCCAGTGGTGGTGCAGTGGTTAGAGTTTCAGACTAGAACCTGGGAGACACAAGGGTTCAAATCCTCTCACTTGGCTGTGAAGTGACTTTGTGCCAGTCACTGCTTCTTGGCATAGCTTACCTCACAGTGTTGTTGTGGGGGTTAAATGAGGAGGGGAGCACCATGTAAGCCACTTTGGGGGGGAAAGGGGGGGTATATAAATGAAGTAAATAAATATACTTCATATTTATAAATATGCACACCCTGTCCGTCCTTCCTTACTTAAGTTTGTCTGGCTGGAAGCATTCTGGAGCAAGAATCAAAAAAGCAGATTAACAAAGGGCCAGAAGGGAAGTGTCTGAAATTGCAATATTGAGTTGTCATTCTGGTGTGGGGCCCTGCCTAAAAAGAAGTTGGGCTGTTGCTAGTGAAAAGAGCTGTTGGCTGCCTGACCATTTGTCTTTATAAAAAGTGAATAACCGGTCATTCAGCAGGCGGGGTTCTATCTAGCATTAGTCGTACACAGTGTGGATCCAGTGACGTCAAGCTGCATGGCTTTACTTTCGTCCATTTGTTTCAGTGGGGCTGCTCTGAAAAGACTTAGTTGTACACGTCCCTTAGATCCACTTAACATTTTAGAGTGGTTAATTGGTTAAAACATTGGCATTCGTGTAAATTAGTTACTTAGCCGCTGGTCTCTTTTAGCAAGGTAGGGAAGAACAGCAGCCTACCTCGCATATAAAAATGGAATAAAATGAGAAGGAGCTGGTAGTCAGACATTGGAGTGTAGAAAGTAGCTAGTCAGAAAACACTGTCTCCATCGGAACAACCCCCTCCTCAGTTCAGGGGTGGGGACCTTTTTTTGGACAAGTGTTGGGCTTTGGTTGCCTTCATCACACTGTTCTGCTGTTCTGCTACTGTTGGTTTATTTATAAATATATTTGCATACTGCTCTATCGTTTAAAAATCATCAAAGCCATTTACAGCAGCAAAAGCATAAAGCCATGCAGCAAAACACTGAAAAGGCCATAGAAACATTGTGTGTGTTGGCCTTTAGATAGCTTAGTCCAGGAGACCTCCAGCTTTGGAGACAGAACTGTGATGATGCCTCCTGCTTCCCTGGGTGGACGTGTGTGTATATGTATATGTATATGTACGTGTAAGAGTACAAACCCCCTGACTTTCACATGGTGGGAATGCAGCCTGCTGTTCAAAGGGAGGAGTCGAATAAATTCCCTGCTCCCTTTTGCCTGTCTCTCCACCCACCCATTCACATTGCATAGCCCTTGCAATGGAAAAGGTTGACCACCCCAAGCATGGAACTACATGACGTTTGGGCTGTTTCCACGCTGTCTTTGCTTCCACCAGCACCCAGATGCTGACATGGCTTTGGCGTGAATGTTCCTCTTGTTCCAGGGGCTCTGGACCACATCACTGTTGCGACCAAGGATGGGAAGTTTCCCTTAAGCCAGCTTGGGCAGATCTCCCTGAAATCCCCGCAGCTCATCCTTGTCAACATGAGCAGCTTTCCAGAGGTACGTGGACAACCCTTGATGGACTTCTGCATGGTTGGCTCTTGGAGTGATTAAGAACTGCACGAGCCAGAAAGGAGACTAAACTAAGGTAGCTGTGAATTCACCAGGTGACCCCAGGAGCTGAAGGGGCCAGGAACAATCCCAGCATACCCAGGTAGGACTGGGAGAGTTCCTTGCCTGAAGTCCAGAAGAGCCATTGCTGCCAGTCAGTGTAGACAGTACTGAGTTAGATGGACCCATGGCCTGATTCAGCATAAGGCAGCTTCCTATGTTCTCACCCTTAGCTGAAATGAAGACTTAACAGCCATCGCAGCTGATATTATGCATCTTGCCTTTCCCACACTGTTGACATTTAGAGTTGTAAGCTCCTTGTGGGCAGAGCCTTCTTTTGGTGCCATGCTTTGACAACAATGAAAAACACGTGAACTGCCTTGTCAGCATTGGAGTATCTCTGTAATTTTGCAAGCTTTCCTGTTCCCAAGGGTCAGAGAACCATAGGCTTGTAGAGTTGGAAGGGACCCAAAAGTCGATCTAGTCCAGCCCCTGCAGTGCAGGAGTCAAGGCCCCCATCCTCCATGACCCTAAAGCATGCTGTGGATTCAGCAGGGACCCTATTTCTTCCCATCAACCCTTCTTTTGTCTTTTTGTCTGTTTTTCCTCCAAGAGTGAGTAATGCTAGCAGGGGCTGATGCAAGTTGTAGTCCAAAGACTCGCTGGAAAAGACTGGAGGAGAGGGCTAGATGGAGCTACGATTTGACCCCACATAAGGCAGCTTCAGGGACGCGGGTAGCGCTGTGGGTTAAACCACAGAGCCTAGGGCTTGCCAATCAGAAGGTCAGCAGTTCGAATCCCCGCAGTGGGGTGAGCTCCCGTTGCTCTGTCCCTGCTCCTGCCCACCTAGCAGTTTGAAAGCACGTCAAAGTGCAAGTAGATAAATAGGTACCGCTCCAGCGGCAAGGTAAACGGCGTTTCCGTGTGCTGCTCTGGTTTGCCAGAAGCGGCTTAGTCCTGCTGGCCACATGACCCGGAAGCTGTACGCCAGCTCCCTCGGCCAATAAAGCGAGATGAGCGCCGCAACCCCAGAGTTGGCCACGACTGGACCTAACAGTCAGGGGTCCCTTTTAGTTTACCTTAAGGCAGCTTCAGATGTCTAGGTGGTTACTGTAAAAACTGTGGAGTTATATGGGGTGAACAGGATTTCCAGCGACTAGGTTTGACTTCAGTGCTCTTCATGATGTTTGCTTTTCCCTTGACTAACGAAACCAGAATAAATTATGCAGGCAGAAGAGGTGGGTTGCTTTTTTAAAAGAGAATGAACAAACTGACAACCTGTGTCTGAGGGAGTAGAAAAGACAAAAAACCCCACTGCTTTTCAATCAACCTGGCATCATTTTATTACATTCGCAACATCAATAGAACAGTCACAGTCCTTTGGCAACTTGTGGGATTATACCTTTGTTTAAAAACTGAAATGGCTCAGAAGTTCAAGGTAATTAAATAGACTATAGGTGCTTCTGGTAGTGGGTGGGGTTGGGAAATATATCAATATAGCATCCAAAACCTGTTTGAAGTCCATATTGTTAAATCGGTTTCATAATTTTTGACCTGGCAATATATTGCAAATCGTGTGTGTGTGTTTGCTGTGCAAAAATCACCATACAGGAAAAACCATGAAGCCAGCCACTGCCTCTACATAGATCATGGCGTCTGAAATAAGAATGGAGCTATCAGTATATTATGATGTTTAGCTGGTGATATAACACAGTGTTGAAAACCAGATATCACCCAGCCCTGGTGGTGGATTTCTGTTCGATATTGACTGTTGCTTGTAAAAATAAATGAAAACAAATAAAAGTTGTGGTGGGGGGGGGAGGATAATAATTTAGACAGGTTTCTTCCTTTTGCACAAATTATGCAGGGTGTAGAATACAGATTTTGAAGTTCAGTATGTAGACTGCCTGGGCGCAGCACAGTGTGTGTGCACGTATTTTAAAAATAGCCCCCTGAAACGCCAAAGCCGCCCCCTCCACATTGCCTGTCAAAGGGGCTGTGTGCCTTGTCTCATCCCTGCCTGCCTCCCAGCTCTGGCTACAGATGGGGCTGGCAGCTTTCAGATCCTGCCTGAAAATCCACAGCTGTGAAAAACAGGCCTTGTGCTAATCCCCGTTATTTTCACACTTGCCTATGGTTGCAATGTGGAACGAGTTAAAATGATTTAACTCTTGCCTCTAAGCTCCTGCTGCATGAGATCTTTGGCACGCAGAGTCAGACCCTGGAATCTTTCATCTGCTTTTGGCCTATGTCTTGCAAAGTCCAGAGTCTCCTTCCACCAGCATCCCCTTGGGAATTCACCTAAAAAAAAAAATCTGTATTGCCTCAAACCATCAAAATGGTTTTAGTTTTCCACTTTTGGTTTTCTTCCTCCCTTCCTTAGCTGCTGACCTCCCCCCTCCTTGCCCTTCCCCCACAGCCACTTCACTGATACCTCAATACTGGGGATGAGGGAGGGGCTGCAGTTTGCAATCCAGTTTTGATCAAAGGGGCTTGCGCTGTTGTAACTTCCTGGTTTTGCTGGTAAGCGAACTAAATGTTTCCATGTTCTGTCAAGATGGATTGCTTCCATTGATGGAGAGCTCCGGCATTTGGTAATAATTATTTGCTAATTCCCTCCGCCTTTTTTATCTCAGGGTGGTTTTTTCATTTTTGTTTTTTGCAGAGCGCAGCTGCAGCTATCAAGGCGATCCGAGAGAGCGGAATGAACCTGAACCCGGAAGCAGATGGCCTGGTCATTCGCGTGCCTGTTCCTATGTAAGCAACCACAACAGCCGTCTCTCTTGATTTGGCGACCCCAGTGGGGGAATGCGATAGCGCTGGCTGGCTTTCCTGGGCAACCCTAGCTTTGCACCCTGGATTTTTTTATGGAGTTGAGGGGATTAGCTGAAGGAGTGTTTTCTATCATGTAAACCTCCCTCTGTGTTGAGGTTCTCTGGGTTCCTCACACTACCACTTGCAGCCCAAGCGATTGGAGAGAGGCCTTTCTCAGCAGTGGCACCCAGACAAGGAGATTGGTGCCAGCTCCAGATTTCAGCATGCCTTTGGGCAAGGTGGTCTCTGTGAATCCCCTTCCTCAAGGGAGTCCGCCTCTTGCTTTGTTGTCCAGGACACAGTGCGGTCCTTTCCCAGTTCCTTGTACAGCTGGCGCCCACCGAGCTGGCTTTGCTTCTGAACTGACCAATGCAGGCAGTGAATAGGTTTGAAAATGTATGATGGAGAGATGCTCTTCTTCCCCACCCACTCCATCACCTTGTTTCACCAAAAGTAAAGGTAAAGGGACCCCTGACCATTAGGTCCAGTCGTGGCCGACTGTGGGGTTGCCGCGCTCATCTCGCTTTATTGGCCGAAGGAGCCAGCGTACAGCTTCCGGCTCATGTGGCCAGCATGACTAAGCCGCTTCTGGCGAACCAGAGCAGCGCACGGAAACGCCGTTTACCTTCCTGCCTGAGCAGTACCTATTTATCTACTTGCACTTTGACGTGTTTTTGAACTGCTAGGTGGGCAGGAGCAGGGACTGAGCAACGGGAGCTCACCTCGTTGTGGGGATTCGAACCGCCGACCTTCTGATCGGCAAGCACAAGGCTCTGTGGTTTAACCTACAGCACCACTCGCGTCCCATAAGTTTCGCCAAAAACTTGCCCATAAAGGCTGGTTGTTTATGTATTTATTTGGTTTCTGTATCACTACTCCTTCCACATTGGAGCCCTGGGCTGCATACAACATAACTAGAACAGCATCAAAGAATGGCGATTGGCAGTAACTTCCAGACTGAAAAGAAAACTGCCCTCTGAAACACACTTAATAATTCCAGTATCATCAATGTAATTTAACTTAGGTTCTATTCAATAGCATAGCACAATGAACAGTGCAATGGGTGCTATTTACAGACAAAATCTTACAGAGTCCAAAAAGCAGTCTTTTTAAAGGATTAGATTTGATTCATGGGCAATAGATTAGTAGGTGATAGTATCTAAGGACCTTAGAATAGCCCTGCTGGATCAGACCAAAGCAGGCCCACCTAGCTCAGCCTCCTGTTCTCAAAGTTCTTCAGCCATGGAGGCAGAGCCATCTAAGTCTTATCCTCCATTAATTTGTGTAATCCTCATTTAAAGTCATCTAGGTCGGTGGCCACAGGAGGGAGTTTCATAGTTTCAACTACGTGCTGCGTGAAGAAGTGACTTAGTGGAACCTATGTTTGCAGAACAGTCTACCTCAGAAATAAGAATCAATGGGCAAATAGCAAAGGAGGGCCATGCTGGAGCTGGCCACTTTGGAAAATGAATGCTGGGCAAGAGGGGTCTTGGCTCTGGTCCAAACTTCAGTCTCCAAATTTCCCATGGATAGTAGCAAGAGGGTAGTCTTTGATGGCCTTGGAGAAGGTGACCAGACAGGATAATGTTGGGTATTAGATTAAGCATATCATACAGTGTTAGTCCTACTCTGTGTAGAACCATTGTACTTGATGGCCGTGGCTAACTTGAGTACATTAATCTTATTAATTTCTTCAATAACCATGCCATTGTGATGTAACATCACCGACACTTCATTTGATCAAACTTACCTTTGTTGATATCTACAGGAGCCTGGCTAAAGGAACTTTAAAGACTGAATCTTGCTTTTGGACACAATTTGAATGAGTTTTCTGTTTGTGGCTTCTACAGTAGATCTTGTACCTTGTTCTCTCAATTTTTGGATTATTAATATAAGATTTAGAACGTAGAATGGTTTGGTAGTGTTTTGTGTGCCGCTTATGTGCTGCTTACTTCATACTGGTCTACATTGTGATGTTCAAGGCAACTTTACTTGGCCCCAGGGGAACTCACAAAAGTGGAGCCCCCAGCCCTACAAATTACACAGGCTTACATAGGGGAATCCCCTCGCCTTAGCTTTATACATACGTAGAAATTATGTCCCTTTCTCGGGGCAAAAGCGTGCCTGCGTCATCAGAGCTGGATGCCGGATTTGGTGAGAAGAACAGGTCAGCTCAGGAGGCTGAGTTTTTTCCTGCACAGGAATAATTGACACATTCTTCATGCGGTCTGAGTAAGCAGAGTCGCCTATCTTAACAATATCCTTTCACACCCTCTTTTACATCTCTTAGGCTGTCTATCAAAGCATATAGTATAATTCCCACTACAAGGGCGACACTTGAGTAGAACTTAGCAGGGATGCAGCCCAAAGTCCCCAAAGAACCCTTAATAAAAGCAACCTCCCCACTCGCCTTGGGTCTTCCATTTCCCTGCACGTGGTAGGAGATCCAGCTTTTGGGTTCGGGCTCCGCAGCGAAGGCCTTCAGGGAAGCTCACCATAGCAGTTTCACAGGCATGTAGCCAAGGGCTGAGGGACCTGAGCTCACAGCTATTCTCAGCACCGGCCAGCATGGCCTGAGGTTGGGGTTGAGGACAGCTGGAGCCCCCATCAGCTTCTCTCCCCACACCTGGGTGCAGGCAACATCAGGAGAGATCATCCTGAAATTAGTGCGGCGCTCATGGCAGAGAGTGGCTGAGCAGCAGCATTTTTGCTTTGGCCGATAAGATCCTGCTCTGGTTTCTGCAGCTCCTCCTCCTCTCTTCTTCCTTTCTCTTCTCCCTGCCCGGTTCTCCCCTCCCCTCAACTCCCCCCCCCCCCATGCAATCCTGAAGGAGGCTGCTATTATCCTCCTAATTGCTGAGGATTTCGACTGGGTGCACAGCAGCCTGATTGTTAACACACTCCCAGATCATCCCCTGGTTTGAATTACACAGGAGGAGGGAAGAGACCCAGGAGGCGCGGAAAGGAAGGAAGGCAGGTTCCAATGTTACTCCCGCATCTCCTCCTTTGTCGCAAGGCCACGCTTCTCCCTCTGTTGCCCCATTTCCTGTCCCCAATTGCAGGGTGTAACCAGGACTTTTTTCCCTAGAACTTGCTGAGCAGCCACCCAAAGTCGTTGAAAGAAATTGAATATCTTTCTTGTGGCACACATACTGTGGAACTCCCTGCCTATTGAAACCAGGCAGGGGCCTCTGCTCCTTTCAGTGCCTGCCTGCCCAGACATGTAGAATGCTGTCATGTGTTTTAAGTTTTTAGTTCATTGTTTTGAAAGTTTTAAAGAATTTTTACTGAGAATTTTATTGTTTTATTTTCCTTGTAAGCTGCTCTGGGTTTGTTTTTTGTTGTTGTTAAAACAAACTTGTGGTGTATACATTTTATGCTTTAAATGAATAAAATAAGGCAGCCAGTGCCCTCCATGTGTTTGGGGCTACAGCTTCCATCAGCCCCAGCAAGCGCAGGGAAGCATAGAAATTGCCGGGAACATCTGGAGGGCCTCAGCTTCGCGAAACCTGCCATGTGATATACCTTGCTCTTCCTCACCTGTTCTTGTCTCCACCTCTCCCATAAAACTTTATCTCCTAAGCACCGATTTTCCCTATCACTCAAGGCTTTCTCCCCCACCCCGTTTTCAGGGCCAACCAGATTTGCATCTGCGTTCACATTCAGAAACCTTTCTAATCCCCTGCTCCAGTAGCCTTGTTGCAATTAGCCCACACATTTATTGAGAGTGGTTTTCCTGACATTTCCTTTTTATATTACACTTAATCTTATCGTTGCAATTTATTAATTGCCTTCTAAACCACCATCCCACAGCAGATTACACGTAAGATAGTTGAAAGGATTTAAAACAGAAAAACCAACAAATACATTCAAAACAAGACAAAAACCCTAGATGTAAGAGGACACTCATGGTAAAGACCCATCGATTCAGCTGAGGATTTGAAAGTGCACATAGCAGGTGCCTGTAGCATCGCGACAGGTACGCGATTCCACAGGCCAGGGGCAGCCACACTAAAAGCCCTGCTCCGAGTTACTGCAGAGTTGTCTGCTGAGGTCTTTGGAACTTGAAGGAGACTGCAGTGATGTCCTAGGTGCATAAGGGGTAAGCAGTCTCTCAGATAACGCAGTCCTGAGCTGTATAGGGACGTATATGTTTAGTACCAACACCGTGAACTTGGCCTAGTAGCAAATTGTCAGCCAGTGCAAATCCTGCAAGCAAGGACTGCGATGCCTCAAGCACCGCCTTACCCCATATGGACCAACCTGGACCCTGTGATTATCATCTGAGGTCCTTTGTGTGCCTCCTGCATGAGAATTTCTGGAGGGTGGCAACACAAGAACAGGCCTTTCCTGTGGTGGCTCCCTGCTTGTGGGATGTTACATATGTTGGGGCCATGCAGAAACATTCCTCTTTCCCCAGGCTTTTGGTTAGTTAAACAATCTATGGCCTTTAAAACTGTGGGTGGGGAGGTGTTATAGTTTCTGTTTGTTACCATGCCAACGTGTTTTTGTATTGCAAACCACCCTGTGATCCTCAAGATGAAGGGCGCTATGATAATTTAATAAACAAATAAATGAAATGAGACTTGCCCCCACAATCCACTGAGCCGCCATGTTGTGTACCAGATGCAGTCTGTGGGAAAAGCCCCGAGGGTAGCTGCACATGGAATACATCGCAGAAATCCAGTGGTGAGGTTGTGAGTGCATGAGCAGCTGAGGTCAAAGACACCCTTTGCTTACTGTTTGACTAGGGTCACCCGCGAGCACAGAGAGAACCTGGTCACTGTGGGAAAGCAGCTGACAAACAGAGCGAAGGAGTCGCTGCGGAGAGTTCGCGCCGAGGCTATCAGCCAGACAAGGAAGGCCAAAAGCTCCACGTCAGAGGATACCATCCGGTTGATAGAGAAACAGGTACTAGTCAGTTGATGGGCCATTTTCTAATACAGTGGTACCTCGGGTTACAGACACTTCAGGTTACGAACTCCGCTAACCCAGAAATAGTACCTCGGGTTAAGAACCTTACCTCAGGATGAGAACAGATATCGTGCGGCGGCAGCGGGAGGCCCCATTAGCTAAAGTGGTGCTTCAGGTTAAGAAGAGTTTCAGGTTAAGAACGGACCTCCAAAACGAATTAAGTTCTTAACCCAAGTTACCACTGTACAGTCATACCTCGGGATAAATATGCTTCAGGATAAGTATTTTCGGGTTGCGCTCCGTGGCGACCTGGAAGTAACGGAGCGCGTTACTTCCGGGTTTCGCCGTTCGTGCATGCGCAGATGGTCAAAATGATGTCACGCACATGCACGGAAGCAGCAAAATGCGACCCGCGCATGTGCAGATGCGCCGTCGCATCTTACGTTCTATTCAGGATGCGAACGGGGCTCCGGAACAGATTCCGTTCACATCCCGAGGTACCACTGTACTTACTTACTTACTTACTTACTTACTTACTTACTTACTTATTTACTATTATATTTAACCCTGGAACGCATCTGGACCTGCTCCCACATCAAAAGCCAGCCTGTCAGGGAGAACTCAGGAGGGGAGAGTTCTGCTTTTGCACTTGAACCCTGCTTGCTTGTTCCTTACTGTGAGAACCTCTCCTCTATGAATTCGTCTAGCCCTCTTTTCAAGCCATCCCAAGTTGGTGGCCCATCACTGCTCCTGTGGGAGTGAGTTCCATAGTTTTAACTGTGTGCGACATTTAAAAAAAACACCACTTAGGTGAAATCTACACATGTATAAAAACGCTGTAAAAATGCTTTAAAAAAAAAAAGTTTTGAAAACTATATTGAATTTGTCATAGCTCACTGTCGCCATCTAGTTTCCCATTTGTGTGTTGCACTTTACAACACAGTCAAAATGTTTTATTTGCAGCTGTATAGCTGAGTCCTTACTTTCATCTGTCCTGAACTTACCAACATTCAGCTTCCTTGGATGTCCGTAATGTTATTATTTTTTTAAAAAAAGTTGCCTGCATTCACATACTTTTCTCCCCCTGCAGATCCAGCAAATGGCAGAGGACACAGTAGCCGAAATGGAGAAGCTGTTGGCAGCAAAGACAAAAGAGCTGCTTGGTTAGCCTGCTTATGGAAGATTTCAAGCCATCTGTCACCAGGAGGAGTTTTCTACCCATCACTGGACTCTCACAGCCTCCTGTGTGGCTGCAGCATTTTGGCTCCCATCACGTGTGAGGCTCTTTGGATCGGGTATACGATCATCCCTGCCTACCTCCCTAAGACTTTGGCATTGGCCAGAAAAATTGTGTTGGCAACTTTGAGGGCAGCTGGGGCTGATGAAATTAATACGGACAAGGTTGCAGCCCCACTAAAACCTGGCTGACATAAACACCTAGAGTGGTGGTTCTTGGCAAGAGAGAGAGCGTGCCTGATCAAAGAGGATTTTTTTTCCCTGGGAGCGATCACATTTTGGATTGTCGTTAACCGCCTTGGCCATTCACTCGCTTGCAAACTTTGTCAGAGTGGGAGGAGGCTGCAGAGGCCAGGCGTCGTCACAAACTCACGGGGGATCTTGTACATTAAATAAAGCACCCCAGGGGCTATGAAGTGTCTCCATGTGATCCTATGACTCTTCCCCTGCCGTTTGTCCTTGCTGGGGTTAGAATGCAGGAAAGGTTACATGCAGACTTCCATAGCAGTTCGGGGCAGGGCAGCCTGAACTGCTGGGCTGGGTCCCGTGGTTCCTGGTGGCAGTTCCCATACTGCCTCAGTTTCCTAGATGGGAAACCTGGTGCAGTTTCCACACTCCACCCTTATGGTAGAGCACGAGGCTGCATGAGCAACTTGACCAGGGTAGGCTGCTAGTTTCAGTTTCTTGAATGCCTAGCCCTCGTGGCTGCAAAGTTAGGCCTATGTTGGCAATGCTTGCGGGTGTCTCTGAAGGCAGGTGGAGGTGCCTGAATGAGATTGCTCATTGCAGGGTGCAAGGCTACTCCCCAAGTGCAGCAGCGTTGAAATGAAAACGCAGAATTATTAAAATCCCATGAATATGCTTAATGTGGGTTGTAGGGAAATGTGTGGGGGTAGGGTAGGAGGGGAGAGGAGGATGGTCACATCCAGCCCCAGATCTTTAAAGAGTGTGCCTTTTTGTTGCAAAGGGGGCATTAGGGTTGTAAGAAGCTATTATATCCTGAGTTGGAATGCTGCTTCATCTAGTTCAGTACTGTTTACACTGACTGGCAGTCACTCCTCAGGGTTTCAGCATGGAAGAAAGGGCTCATTTGATAAACACAAGGCGAGCTTGAAAGGCCTAAGCTGAAAGAAATTTGCTGAGCCAAGTAAGCACCATGGGGCATTCATTTCCCCCTTGATCCATTTATCAAAAGAGGAGGCACTTCTGGCAGGCAGCAGCAGACGTTTGAACGGATTGCAAATGTGTCTACTCAAAGTAGACCCACTGAAATTGACAGTCGTTATGGATGGATAGGCCCATTAATTTTAATAGATCCTTCTTCTTTGGCGATCACTCGTAGCCTAGTAAGATTGTCTTCCATAAACACGGTTTTAACAATGAGTCTGTAAGTGACTGTGGAGGCCAATTCTGGAGCCACACATCCTTCCACAGTGGGGACATTGGTTTCCAGGCAGGAGCTGATCACGGTGTGGATTTGCCAAGCGTGCCTTCCTCTTAGCACGCTTCTCCCTTGCATCCTGAGTTCGAGTGTCTTCAAAGCCCATGACACCTTTGGTAAAGGCTGTTCTCCAACTGGAGCGCTCGCAAGCAGAGCTTAGTTAGCTACTACCTGATATTTCTAAGCACTTTTTGAGGCTTGTATAAAGTGGGGAGGGGGCCATCCTGCCTGGAGGTTTCTAGGGCTCAGATGAGGTCCCGCTTAGTCTGGAGGAGATGCACCTGGAGCATCAGCCAAAACTGATAAAAGGCTCACAGTTGCTGCCTTGACCTGAGCCTCCCAAAGCCACAGGATCAAGGCACCCCCACGAAGCTAAAATCCTAATCTTGCAAGGGAGACTGCACCCGAAACCCAAGGCCTCCAAGCCTCCCTTCAGCACTTCCTGGTGGCCTCTGCTAAGCCAGGTCGATCATCAGTGTTTTAAATTCCCATGGTGGAGAAACCCACCAGTGTCCCTAGGAACACAGGACGCTGCTTTATGCAGAATGAGACCCATGGGGCCTCAGTTAAGAGGCAAGGAGGCGACAGGCAGTGGGGCCACTGGAGGTGCAAATGAACATCAGACTATCATCCATTTTGTTGAACTGATTGAACCAATTTTGGTTGGATGTTGAATGAATGTCTTAATTGCTACTGTTTTGAATTTCATTGCGCTATCTTCCTTGGCGGGTTGTGCAAACTGCTGTTTGATGCTCTTTTTAATAAGGTAGGAGAGTCTTTTAGGCGGGGGGGTCTTTGCAGCCCTCCCCGCAGTTGCTGCCCTTGGGGGACTGAACTTTGCTCCATGTCTGCATGCAAGGCAGATGCTTTGCCCCTGAGCTGTGACTCTTCCCTGCATCCATGAGTGCTTGGGCCCGGCTGCCGGCCTTGGGTTCAAGTGATGCCTTTGCAAAGCACCCCCTGGTCCCAGTAGAGAGAGAGTGTGTGTTTGTGGAAAGCAGGAGAGAAGTCGTGCAGGGGTGGCGGGGAGAGAACGGAGCAGCGTGAGGGTCTGAGCCAGAGTCGAGTCCCTCCAGTGTCAAAACCCAACGCTGTACTTCAAAGGAGAGGTGATTGCTCTCCTTGTGAGCCACTGGCGGCAGAGAGAGACGGTGCAATTGCGATTGCTTTTGTGTAAAGGAGAGCTGAATCCTCTCTCTGATTGTAGGCTTTCTGGATTTGTGTCAAACAAGGCTGGTGGTGTGTCAGAGTTTAGGAGGCGCATACATCTTTCAACAGTGCGCCTTGCCTGCCGGCAGTGCGGGCAGGGGGGCGGGGGGGGGAGATGAGGGAGATGCGCCCCCATAATCGCCTGCCTTCTATATTCAGTGTTGATTAGACGCGCTTTCGGCCTGGATTGTCGGGAGGCTCAAGTGGGTTTTTTTTAATCACTACAGAAGCTCATTACAGCTTCCCAGTGACTCTTATGTCCTCCAGTTCTCCTTTCAGATTAGAGCCCATCGTCGGATGAATATTGGATGATTTCATTACATACAAATGCAATCAACAGTTTTGCATAAAATTTCTCCTCTTTTTCTCGAGTTTCAATTGACCCCGGCACCCGTGGCGGTAGGCGCAATACACATGCAAATGAGCCTGCGCTGCCGTGCGATATATATATATATATATATATATATATATATATATATATATATGGAGCGGGGAGTAAGGAAAAGGGACACTCAGAAGCAAAATAAAAACCTCTGGAAAATCTTTGGGCATTGAGTGACGAGCCAAAGGCTTCCAGCTTCTCCCCCTCCAAAAGAACACATTTTGCCTGGGAATATACAGCTTGGCTCGCTCTTCTGAGTTAGCTAGGGCTGTTTGTGCACTGACACACCTCTTGCTTATTTGTTTATGGCCTTTAGACCTCACCTTTATTTCTCCTCAATAGTTCTCAGTGCTGCCTTTGAAATCCGGGTAACATCCAGGAAATCTGGACATAGGGCAGTCCTATTCTGCATAGTAATGCGTCCCACCTTCCTTCCTTTATTGCTATTTCTGTTGTTCATGTATGCATTTTTAAAATTTCATACACAGGAAGCTGCCTTATACAAAGTCAGCTGGTTCTCTAGCATTTCAGGCAGAGTTCTCCCTAGGGCTTTTTTCCAGTAGCTGCTCAAGGGAATACAGTACTAGCAGTACCTGTTGTTGTTGTTGTTGTTGTTGTTGTTGTTGTTGTTCAAACATGAGACACTTACGGTAACAACTTCATGGTAAGTAAATGTAAAGGGACCCCTGACCATTAGGTCCAGTCGTGGCCGACTCTGGGGTTGCGGCGCTCATCTCGCTTTATTGGCCAAGGGAGCCGGCATGCAGCTTCTGGGTCATGTGGCCAGAAGGACTAAGCCGCTTCTGGAGAACCAGAGCAGCGCACAGAAACGCCGTTTACCTTCCCGCCGGAGCGGTACCTATTTATCTACTTGCACTTTGACGTGCTTTCAAACTGCTAGGTTGGCAGGAACAGGGACCGAGCAACGGGAGCTCACCCCATCGTGGGGATTCGAACCGCCGACCCTCTGGTAGGCAAGTCCTAGGCTCTGTGGTTTAACCCATGGCGCCACCCGCGTGCCTTCATGGTAAGTACCAGGACTTATTTTTCGGGGGGGGGGGGAGCACTGGTTCTCCCAACCTGGAGATGCTAAGTTGGGGTGCGTTTGGACCTTCCGAGGCCTCCATGCAAGGCAGGTGCTCTACCACCGAGCCTCAGGCTTCCCCCTTGGCCATTTTGTAAAGGGCAAAGTGGGCACAAAAAATGCTATTTTAATAATTTGTCAGTGTGCAGCCCCAAGTCCTCAGGCTAGAAGTCCTGGGGCCCCAGTAGGGGCTTGCTTTCTTCCCCATCTTGTTTCTGTTTGTTGAATCTGGGAGATAAGTGGTTAGTGCAAGACCAGCCAGGGCAGAGTGTGTGTGTGTGTGTGTGTGTGTGTGTGTGTGTTTATTTATCATATTATTGCAGTTTCTCTCCCACCTCCAAGGAGGCTAAAGTGGAGTACATGGTTCTTTCAATGACCAGCATTTTCTACATGTGGAATTGCTTGACCTCTTCTTGACCCTCAGAGGTCAAAAATAAAATTACAGTTCTGAAGTAGGTTAGGCTGAGAGGCTGTGGCTGGTCGATGGACAGCCTCCAGGCTGGACTTCTTTAAAAAGGTAAAGGGACCCCTGACCATTAGGTCCAGTCATGGCCGACTCTGGGGTTGCGGCGCTCATCTCACTTTATTGGCCAAGGGAGCTGGCATACAGCTTCCGGGTCACGTGGCCAGCATGACAAAGCCGCTTCTGGCGAACCAGAGCAGCGCACGGAAACACCCTTTACCTTCCCGCTGGAGTGGTACCTATTTATCTGCTTGCACTTGACGTGCTTTGGAACTGCCAGGTTGGCAGGAGCAGGGACTGAGCAACGGGAGCTCACCCTATTGTAGGGATTCAAACTGCCGACCTTCTGATCGGCAAGTCCTAGACTCTGTGGTTTAACCCACAGCGCCACCCGCGTCCCTTCTGGACTTCTTTAAACACCCACTAATTCAGTGGTTCCCAAACTTTTGTTTGTTTGTTCCATAGGCTTATCCCCTGTGCCCCAGAAGTCTATGAAAAGCATTATTCAGAGTAGCTTTCTGCAGGAGCCACTAAGGAAGATAGTAACACAACAAAATTCAAAACACTAACCATTAATTGCCACATTTATTCAAAGTCTAGTTGAAACTATTTAGTTCAATTAATTCAACAAAACTGATGAACTTGATACACAGGGATACCCGCTTTTCAAAGTTTGGCAGCTCTTTCCACCTGCTGCCCCCTTGCTTATTCATGCCCCCACCCTGGTAATCCCAAAGCCATGAGCTATGGACCTTCAGCTGCCTGGAACCCAACTTTTAGCTTTTAGCTACAAACAGACCATCTAGCCAATAAAAGGTTCCAGTCAAGCTGCTAGCATGAAATTGGAACCC